TTTTAACTGTAAACAAACAAACGATACTAAACTAAATGATAGTCTAGTATGATTAGTTACTTGGTTTTATAYTTAATAAATCAGTTGGAGAAACCCATTACCAGCCTTCAGTGAAAAGCTAACACTCTCCGCCATGTTCAACTGAATCTGGTAAAAATTTCACACGAGACCGGACATGACGTCATTCAGGAAAACATTACGGCCCTCAACCTCGAAAAGTCTATTATATTGTGTACACTAAACACTTCCTTGTCTTTTCCTGTATCTTCTACAGCTACTGTAGTCGCTATAACTCGGAATCTCTATCATCTCCCCTCTTAATGTCTGGTGTTTCATCCTCTATGTCTACAACGAACGACACGAGGGGTATAGACTCAATAGGGTTGTCTTCTGYATTTTGCCGCTCGTCTGAAATATATCCCTCTTGGGTAGCCTGTGGTTCTGCAGGAGGTTCAAAACCTTCACAATCCGGCTCAGTTTTTTCTTTTGGCGATGTTTCCAATTCATCCTGTTTTTCCAGTTCATCGCCCGTACTTTCATATTCACTTGAGCTCGAATCACTCTCTTCTTCATTCGCTCTTTCTACAACAACCCTTGGAATGAGTTTATCTGTTTCTGTCTCCTCCACCGAAAGCGTGCGGCCAATTTTCCATCGAACACCACTGGCAACAAACGATATCCCTTCATCGGCATCCTCTTTAATGCCTTGCGGTCTCGCTGCCTCAATTTCATTTTCTCTTTCCTCGGCTTTTCCTTCACCTTCTTCGGGCTCAAAAATCGTGGACAGTTTTTTCTTTTTTTGGAATGGTTCCGAACCGTGTTTCTTGCGATGGCCTTTCTTTTTGTGATGTCGGCGATGTTTGTGTGACCTYGATTCTGAAGACGTTGAAGGAACTTTGAAGCGTAGTGACTGAGGAGCATGACTAGAAGAAAAATACATTTACGATGTAAGAATCCAAGATATACTAAGACTTTTAAAAAAAGTTAGTTKGAGCTAATTTAGTGGAATCAAAATGTAGAAAATTATAAGTGACATCGAAGCATTGATATTGAGATATAAATACAAGTAAGGAATATAGGCAACCACCTGTGGTGAGGTCAYATGGAATCATATTTCTAAACGTTGGATCAAACTACCCCATATATTCTCTTGGGATCCCTGTGTTAAATGTTAAAAAGAGCAAAGGAAACGCCCGCGGAAGAGGCTAGGATTATTAAACCTTAAATATTTCTCTTTATTTCACCAAATTTAATGCAATGGAATAAATATATTAAATAAAGCCACTTTATTCAAATCATAACTGTCTATTCGTAAAAAAAAGAGAGAATAAAATCGATTTAAAAAGCAAAACAATTTAAARCAAATTGCGCATGCGCAATGAATTTGCTCATCGGTTGCTATTTTGATTYCATGAGAAGATTCTGCCCACACAAATCACGAATATTCAACTGAATAAAAAAATAATTTTTATTGAACAGTTTGAAATTATTGTTTAGAAAARGAAATGAGTCTCGTGATGCGCATGCGCAGTGACTCGTTTCGAAAATTTGTTTATTTCAACTTATTAAAGCTGTTCTTTCAATTATATCAGTTAAAATACAAAGTTACTACAAAATGTAATATAGATGCAAAGTTTAAGGATGGTAAGCGAAGAAAGAATMCGATCAACTCATCCCACATGGATAAATGATATTTGAATTCTTTGTATAAATGGTTGGAGCGTACAKTATATAGTGCGCGGATGAGCCTCACTGGTGTGGGGTGCGGGCTTCAAACCCGTAGCCGACTAGCGTCGGAGCGGTTCAATTCCGCCTTCTGCGCGGWTTTTGAAATTTTATTCTAGAAATTTTGAAAAAAAAATACATCCTTCGACTTTAGTAAATGCAATTTCTCTCCATGAAACATATTTTATTTAGAGATTGAAAATCAACAATTTTCTGCCAATTTTTTCCCCTTATAATCTCAACATGACATTTTTGTAAGATTGTTCTTTTTTTTTTTTTAGATTTTTAAAAAATATTAATTTAAAATTTTNTAAATTTTTCACGCAATTGCAAGTTCCGATTTACAAAGCGTAAAAAATGAAAAAAACTGACTTTTAACTGTAGCGACCACCTTCAGGAAACTGGACGATAAATAGATGTTGGTCGCTGTATAGAGGTATAAACTATTGGAAAAACAATCTTTGGAATATGACAACTGGTTGTTACATAGAGGGTTGCCACTTTATAGGTGGCCGATATATAAAGGTTACTTTTACTGCCCGGGGGGGGGGGGGTACTCCCCTATATTTGCTATACGGGTATGTGCCGCCCTATTGGGTATTGGTATTGGTTTTTTTGGCTTTTGGGTCTGGGGTAGGGTATCATTTTTTGACATTTTGTCTGGGATAGGGTATCATTTTAGTCTGGGATAGGGTTAAAGATTTGGTCATTTTTTTTCTGGCGAATAGGCTACGCTTTCTGCCGGCACAAAAACAATAAATATTGATTGCAATCGATTGTAAGACCGTATTTTCCGTCTTTTAGTCTGGGATAGGGTGTACAATTATTAGTTTTAGTCTGGGGTAGGGTATGTAAAATCAAAATTTTAGGTCTGGGATAGGGTCAGGGTTTGTAGGTCCTGGCGGCACACCCCTACCCAAGTTGGGGTGGTAGTATCCCCCCCCCGGGTTTTACTGCTTTAACGGTATGGTACTTACTATGGAAGAAGGTAGCTTGGTGTCATACTGCTGTCCACGTAATCATCCAAAATGTTGTTACGTTGAAACTTCCGATGGCTCTATAAAACCAATTTGAAAATAAGTTAAAGAACCAGCATCACAAACAAATTGGTGGTGTCATTCTCGAGGACCCATTTCTAGTTCCTTCCCTATGTCTCCATGATTTAAACCAAATTTCGTGTGACATTAAAAAATTGTACTTGCTTTGCCGTGACCTTGTCGGTATYGTGTCCAAGCATTTCATTGGATGAGCGATAAATTGACGCGCGCTGGATTAAAAATTGGATTAAAAGTGGCCCCATGAAATGCCACTGGTAGTTGTTCTATTTGATTTGACTTCGTYCTCCACTACACTTTACTGGTTGTACCACAGAGAGCAAAATTTATATAAAAGTCAAAGATATGAATAAAATCTGGGGGATAATCGGCTTTAATTAGTATTTTTTATAGAGGCTTTCGCTATCCCTTAATGGCAGCCATGACAGAAGACACAACAATAGTCTTTTCCTAATAAACTAAAAAAAATTATAAGCTGTCGTTCTACTCTACCCGTGAATAGAGTAGAACGACAGTAATCAATGTCGTCATTTGTACAAATTGCTCCCCGGCTGTGGTAGCCTCCTTTGCAGCCGTTCTTAGGGTCGCCACGTAACGTTGCGTGACGACCCTAAGAACGGCTGCAAAGGAGGCTACGGCTGTGGCTGTACTTGAAAGATGCAAACTGACGAATGAAAGCAAAAACTTACGTAAGTCTTTCTCGATCTTGATAAGATATTGCTGAGATTGTGTGGAGTTTCCGAAATTGTGATACTTTCCGAAGGTTCTGTAAAAAATATATATATAATCAGCACAAGAAACGTTTCATCATGACAATACTTGGTAAATACAGCTAAATGATCACTATGAGCAAGGCCTTGAAGAAACAGCAAATTGAACAGTCTTCTTCCCAACAAGAAGATTCACTAATATTCATTGAGAAATTCACCCACTTATCCTCTTACTAAATGCAGAACTGAACTTTTTGAGGAACCTTTATTCCATCTTGGGATGACTGAAGTCAACTATGAATTGTCATTTTCAAGTTTTACATCGTTTTATTGATACCATGAACAAAATTTTACATTCACATGATTATTATGTAATGCAGAAACGTTTATTTGTGTACTTGTATATGTAAAATCAAGTTTTTTTAGATAGTATCCCCTGTTTACAACCTACAAGTTAGTTATTCAATAAACGTATTACTTATTAATTTAAAACACTGAGYATTGCTGGATACACACCTGTAGAGGACCTGAGGTCTCGTAAGACCAAGTCTGGAACACGAAGAAAGGTGCCGCCCCTAAAGATAAACATAGAAAAATGCACGTCACTCATAGTAGAGACAAGAAATGGTATTTAGTTTGATATTTAAAAATAAAAATAAAAATCTCTTTATTCAAGTGTCTAGTCGTTCTAGCGCTTTCGCACTAATTGGGGACACTTTTCACTCGCACACACTACCACTACATTCAATGTTACATTCAATATTACCTTAGTAATAGGGATTCGCTATCTAGATCTCCCTCACTGGAATGGAATGAAAAACGATGAAATTCAATGACAAAGCAACTGGCAATCGATGCTTAATTGAGGAAGCACAAAATACAAAGGAAAAGGTGTATTCGGTTGGAAATTTTAGACGTCTGGGAATGTCGAGAAGGAAAGTATAGCAAGATAGAAAAGAAAGGATTTGGAAAGGAGAATACAGCAGAGCAGAGCAGAGCAGAGCAGAGCAGAGCAGAGCAGAGCAGAGCAGAGCAGAAATTAGAAGTTAGAAATTACTGACTGAAATTACTTACTTTGCCAAAGCTGTGTGATCTAACGCTTTCAAATGATGTCTGAAAAAAGTATTGAAAGTCGTCTTTTTACAATGAGTCTTTAGGGATTGCATTTGCTTTTTTTTTATTTCAAATCTTACTTACCCAGATGGGCTGGCAAAAAGTAAGGAACCACTCCCTTCTCTTTCCAAGTGTGTTAACGCGTCCCTGGAAGGCGAGAGATTTACAAAAATATATCGAGTCTTACCACACACAAAAACAAACATTAGGAATAAATAAATGTTTAAAAAATCAAGTTTTACTACGTRATCATGGACACTGGAAACACAGTAGAGTACAAAAAGTCAATCCAGGCATTATTAATTATATTATATTATTTCCTRTTGTTCAATTGAATTATTAGACAGATCTGCAGATACTGCAAACCTTATCAGAAATAATTTTAAGAACCTCTTTAAGATAATAATAATAATAATAATAATAATAATAATAATAATAATAATAATAATAAGATTTAAGATTTCTCACTACGCATCCTCTATATAAGAGCCATTTCATTTTGTCACATAAAGTGGTACATTCTTTCTCCCTCTTATAATTCAGACCTTGCTATGCCCTGTATAACAGTTATTAAGAGAAAGGACTCATTGAATAAATGATAAAGTACCCACTTGTATTCAAGTTTACGGTAGGCAAGCAAGATATCGTCATCATTGATTATACTCTCGTTCTCTCTGACCAGCCATTTTCGGAGGAAACGATTATGAAAGTGCTCAAACATCTCCTGTGGGTAGAAAAAATATATATATAAGTAATACCATCGCACGAGGGAAATTAGTGATTAAATTTCCCCGAATAACGAGAGAAAATTTGTGGAATAAAACAAAAATAGAATCTAAAAACAAGTTGTCATTTTCAATTTATCTTATGACTGAGCATGCGCAGATTTGAGAACGCGTCCCACATGGAAACCGTGCAGTAATATCATAAGTAGCATACGTTGTAATCGATTCAGTTGCAGGGGCATTGAGTTGTCCCTGAGGGAGACGAGGCACTGTCTTCTAAATTTCCCTCATGTTATAGATGCATGYGGGAAATTCGGGTTTGTAAAGCCCTCGGAAGACAAAAGAATCCGAGGTGATCATGGTATTACTTCATTAAATGAATAAAGAATGAATAACAAGACAGATAATGGATATGATTGACATTACGGTACAGAAAGACATACAAACAATGAAATAAGTGACATGATTGGCATCAAGGTACAGACAGACAGTTATGACATGCAAGACATGATTGGCAGTAAGGTAAGGGCAGGAATCACATGATTGACACTAATGTACAGACAGACACTGACAAGATTTACATGAGTGACAATAAGGGAGAGGCAGACAGACACTGACAGGATTCCCATTATTGACATTAATGTACAGGTACATACAGGCAGACACACATTGACAGGCATCACATGATTGACATTGATGTACAGACAGGCAGACAGACAGAGAGTAATGTATTAACAATTAGTAATAACTGACTGACGGACAGAAATTACTGATACATAGTCGAACCTACCCAGTAATAGGTATGCCCACGATGACCTGATACTTCTTCCATTCCTGCGACTAAGTGATCTAACAACTGAAAAACGACCAGGAAATAGGATAAATATAATGAGCTACCCTTGAGCACATTTCATGATTATCACATCAGGGCAGCATAGAGGTAGACAAATCGCCTCCCAACTAGAACTCCACATAACATACAAGACTAGAGTCTGTTAGATTTCTACCTCAATTCAAGTGTTTTTTTCCTGGGTACCCAAGTTTTCCTCGTCCTACAAACCCCAACACACTAGATTCTAATCTTGTCTACTGTAAGTGTGAGATCACAGTAACAAAAGCAAATACACAATTGCTGGGTTTCAATCAGCTGATAAAAGTCTTTGAATCTAATTATCCGCTCCAAATGGTGGTCATACACTGACCAACCAAGTGCTGTCAACCAGAAAGAATTCTATTGCTGGGTTTCAATCGGCTGATAAAAGTCTTTGAATCTCATTATCCGCTCCAAATGGTGGTCAAACACTGACCAACCATGTGCTGTCAACCAGAAAGAATTCTATTGCTGGGTTTCAATCAGCTGATATAATCATTTGAATCTCATTATCCGCTCCAAATGGTGGTCAAACACTGACCAACCATGTGCTGTCAACCAGAAAGAATTCTATTGAAAACTTGCGATTCAGCTGATGAACATTCCCCACTAGACAGGAAACAATTTCTAGTGAAACCCAGACAACAGCAGCATCTTTTATAATCAATGATACCTTGTCGTTGAGTTGTGCATACATGTCAGGTCCTTCTTCACCATGGAGCCTGACATTTAGAACCCGGACTAGTGGTTTGATGGTCGTTCCCTGTAATGGGCGAATAAAGTTGTCTTTAGTGCAATTAATATCCTYAGTTAAATCCTTATAGAGAATCCTTTGAATATAGAAACACTCTGATAAAATTCACTAGTCCCATTGCTATTTGATTGTCCTTCTTTGTTTGTTTGCTTGTTTGTTATCTCCTAGCTTGTTTATTTGTTTATCAGCTTTTTTTCCTCTTATTCTTTGGTTTGTTTGTCTGCTCGTTTGTTTATTCGTTTGTTCGTTTGCTCATTCGTTTGTTTGTTCATTTGTTCAAGAGTTTTACTTACTTGGAAGAATATCGTAAAAACTSCTGTAACTATAGTCGTGGTAACAATCATATTCTTGAGAGGAAAGTGTTCCTCAGAGAGAAGAATAGCCAAAGAGAATGACACAGCACCTCTAATTCCACCATAAGACTAAAAAAGATCACATAGAAAATATATTTGAATGAGCCATAATTAGCTTAAGTTCTAATCATTTCATGTTAAACATACGACAATTTCAAAAACAATGCATGTTGCATGTTGCATACCATGCCTGAGCCATGATTAGCTAAAGTTCTAATAATTTTATGTTAAACATGACAATTTCAAAAAAAATGCATGTTGCATGTTGCATACCATGCCTGAAATGCACTATGGGTAAAGTGAATACAAGTGAATACWGCAAAAGGTCACAGCAATACCTAGTTCCTAAACTTTATCTGCATGTTTTTTTGGCATATCTTCTTCTGTGCTAACATAATCTATATATTACCCACAATACATTTCAAGCTTGGTATGCGACATGCAACAAAACCTTTACAAACCTTTTTCAAAATAGCTGTACATTATATTCTCTTTTTTAACTTACCATAATAAACTGGTCGACAGCTGATAGCTTATTCAGTCTGCCAAAACGGTTTGCTAGATATGTCAGTATTGCAACACCTGGTATAGAAATAATGCAAWTATTTATTTAAAGTCTAGCCTAAGAGTAGGAAGGGTCTGAGGACAGTATGTTGTGAAGTGCAAGCAGTCTCGGAATTTGCAAAGGAAAACACAGGTGGAAACACTAATATGATCCAGGTTTGAGTCTCACCTGGCTCAGTGTGATAAATATGTGAATGGTCTGATGAGGGGTTCATTGTGTACAGTTCCAAAAATATTCACACCTCTTCCATTAAGTGAATCAGGATTTCCAAGGGGTGGACGAGGATCTTAAGAGGGAAGCATGGGWGGCRTAGCGGTGAAAGCGCTCCGCCACCCATGCAACCCAGGTGATTTCGAGTCCTGACAAGCTCGGTGTTGTATGTGAGTAGAGTTGTTTGTTGGTTCTCTCCTGTGCTTCGAAGGTTTTCCGGGTATCCGGCTTTCCTCCCTCCGCAAAAATCAACTTCTAAATTCCAATTGGAATCCAGTGGAAGAAGAGCCACTCTATG